ACAAAGTTGGCCAAAACTCACTTTTGTTCATGACCAATACATGTTCATAGCAAATGGCATTTTCAAATCAGCTTGGTTTATGCTAGCTTGCAGGCCTCTAAACCCCTTCACACTCAATAATTTAACGCCTAACCATTGTGTTAAGGTGTTATTTCATCCATTTGGGCATTACATGCTAAACTAACCCTTAATTAGAAAAAGGTATAATGCCATTTTGGTAAAGTTACACTTTATGTCAAATTCCAAATCCTTGAGGCATGGGGCCAGATCTTTGAGGCAAGGGTGAGTACACAAATTCCAGTTACCAAGAGCCAAAGTGGCAGCATACTTTAGGGCATTGTACATGCCTGTATTGAAACTTACATTTTCTTGCTTCAAGTAGAAGCAACTTTGTAAAACAGAACCAACTCTTATTTCCTGCAAACAAGAGCTTAAGAAAACTTTGTGAACATCTTCCACACCTCCCAACTGACCTAAGACACGACTCATTCATCCTCAATACCTCCTCATTTACCAAATCACAGTTTTGCTGCAAAACAGGGCACCCCCTGCAACTTGAGTTCCATAACACTATCCACTCGTGCGTTTTTGCCAAAGCTTGTTCAAACACCTTCCATACCATCCACCTAAACTATTCCAAGCCTAAAACTCCAGCTGTAACACCTCTAATCCAGTTTGCCATTTTCATTTTCAAGCTTTGTAGGTGAAATTCTACAACACGATACAAGGTGCTTCAAAGCAAGCCAAGTATTTGGGAAGCATCCTTGGACTTCAGGCAAGCTCAACAGAAGCTCAAAGTCCATTGAAGGTTGCTACATTGCCCTACTCGAGACAAGCTGAAACAGGTAATCTATGGACTTCTACCTCTCTATCTAGGAATGGTTAGGCTTAGGTTTATGAATGAAACATGTCCTACTCATAGCCCTGAAGCCATACATGTGATCAGTTTTTATTTATGTTAAGCATGCTGTGAGAATTTTAGCCATGAACATTTGAAAAAAGCTAGGTCAGAAATTGGGGGTGATAAAATTCTCCCTGGTTTCTTAGAGTTAGGTCAAGTGTTTTATATGGTTGAAATCGTGGCTTCAAGCTCTATAAGTTTCATGTTTTAAGTTTTGGCAAAAGGTCAAAGAATCAAGAGATAGCATTGGTACAAGAGACGCGTGCGTTTTTGTTCAAACAAGTGCTGGAGGTTGAAGAAGGTGTTGGCTTGGGCTGGGCCTGAGTCAGTTTTGTTGTTTGCACCCCTTTTTTTAATTTGCACCTCCCTGGCCCATTTGATTAAATATTTGACATTTTTGTGTTTTTCTTTTTTATTCTGACTTTATATTTTTTGCCCAAACATAAAAAACACCAAAAATAATTTTCCACATTTTTTTATATTTATTTGATATTTATTTACTTTTTTAAGCATATATATGTAAATAATATAAATCCTTTTCATTTAAAAAACCTAAAAAAATAATATAAAAATATTTATTTTTCAGTCATTATTTTTATTTACATTTTTGAAAACATTTTCTTGAATATACATTTTTGTAAATAATTAATATTTTATTTTTGTACATACTTAGCATATTTAATATATTTAATATATACATATACATATTTTATTAAATATTTAGGGCAAAAATATAGAAATAATACCTTTTATTTTTATTTAACATTTGACACTAAAAATACTTTTTTTACAATATACTTTTTATTTTTTTGTATAAATTAATACATATTGTACATAATTAATAAATAATACTATTTATTCAAAAATTAGGGTTTTGCCCTAAACAACAAAAATAACTAAAAAATTAACTTTTTTTTATTTTGTTTATACTTCAAACATAAAAAACATTTTTTACATACATAAACAATCTTTTTTTGCATAATACATTGTTATTTGATATTTATTTAAATGTTAAATATTAACTTGTATATTCGATATGGTTGTAATAACTTAGCATTTATTTCCTTGTCAAATATCCCCAATTCAAACTTGTATCCCTATCCCCATAATCATGTTGTAATAATCTAGGACTTTAAATTCTCGCACATTTAAAAGTTTCCAAATTATGCCATGCTTAGACTTAGGGTTTGTATGCAAAATCAATCAACAAATAGCTTGACCTAATCCAAAGATAAACATGCATGAAAAACAAATACAATGCACACTTGCACCCCTAGGGTTTCATCCACTTGTTGCCTTCAAAAATGGGTCATGGTTGCATGTTGAGTACTTTGGCAAAACAAAAACAAACAAAATGGTCATAGTCCCTCGATGACGCTATCTTGTTGCCTAAACAAAATGATCATAGTCCCTCAAGAAAATTGCCAAAAATACTTGACACTATTGCCTTCATGGTCTATACAATGACCCGCGTCTGTCCCGTTAACATCCTAATGCAAGGTTGTTCACCAAATACAATGGTGAAACAACACTGTTAAAAGGGTTAAAAACATAAGAAAGATCTTTGAGTAAATTAGGGTAGATAGCTCTTAGTTACTTGATCAAATTTGCAAAAACATCCTTGCTACTTTTCAAAAACACACATCACAACACAACTTCAAAACAAACTTTCAAAAAACATTGAAACATCTTTTCAAAAAGACAAACACCTTTGTAAAACATTCAAACAAGAATTGTTACAAAGGTTGCCTAGACAAGACATCTTTTTTCAAAACATCTTTCAAAACCACACACAAAGCACCATTTCCAACAATTGAAAATGCAAAGCAAGTGATCTAAGCAAGTAACTAAGAGCCCATGGATAACCATGGATAGAAAGGGTGCTAATACCTTCCCTTTCTATAATCTACTCCCTGAACCCAAGAAAACATCTCAAAGGTCTTTCCTGTGCTTTTTGACCTTTCCTTAAGATAAAATAAAAAGTCGGTGGCGACTCTTGCTAAACCGAAACATTTGCGAATACAAATGCAAAACCTCAAGTCAATTCTCCCACCGTATCACAGGATGCCTCTTGGAATAACCGATAGAATCTGCCTGAAATCGCCACCAAACACAATAACCTTACCACCAAATATTTTATCTGAAGATTTGGATCCACCCATGATGTCTCTGAGTGTTTCATCAATGCTTCAAAAACAAATTTGTGACACATTGGAGCCTCATCCCAAATTATCAATTTTGATACTTTTAGTAGGTCTCCTCTGTCACTTCCCTTGTTTATATTGCATGTGGGAGATTCAAGCATGGGAATTGGAATCTTAAATTTGGAATGAGCCATTTGACCACCAGGGAGCAAGAGGGATGAAATACCAGAGGAAGCAAATGTCAACCATATTTATTTTCTTGATCTTATGTAAGAAGCTAATGTTCTCCACATATACGTTTTTTCTGTCCCACCGTATCCATACAGAAAGAACACGCATCCATGTTGCGTATCGACTGCAGCCATGGTTTGTTTGAAAATGTCTATTTGTTCATCTGTCATGCAATAAACGGAAAATACAAAAACAACATATTAAGAGTAGATATCCATTATATCATATTGTAGTACAACATGGAAATATGATTGGCAAAGCACATGTATAGTTAAATGTATAGATTTCAGTTGTTTAAAAGTAGTATGATATTTTTATTGTTGATACCTGTGAGATTTTGGTACAGCGTGGTGAACTTAATAAGTTGTTCTGCAGGATTGTAATTTTGTTCTTCATATATAAGCTTGTTTCCAAGATCCTTAACTACATAACCATGTGGTTTTAGCATTCTAGGATAGTCACTTAAACTCTTACGGCTTTGTTGAATAAGTTTTCCTATCTCAATCAAGGTTAAATTCAATATTTCTTCATTTGATAATCGTAAACCTGATATAAAAACCTGATATTATCAAACAATGTATACTTGTAATAAAAGTATAATAATGTTAATTTGCAAAAGAATAAAGCTATTAAATAATAAATCCTGTTGTTTGCAATCAATTGTTGAGAATAAAGAATTTCATCGGATAACATATGTCGAGTCTTACTCCGTACATGCTTTATCCTGTTGATGCTGCTTGACAACAACATGTGAATAAAAAGTAATCTCAAGTAATGGCAAGAACCCCAATGAAAAGCTTTTTTTATTGAAAATATGAATTCGTGATCATCCCCAATAAACCCCATAGCAAAACACGCATCACGAAATGTATCGTACTTGACATTATTAATAATCTTTATTTCAACATAACTCCATGGGCCTTTAACGTGTGTAAGCATCATTCTGAGATAGTACAATTCTTCGGTAGTGGGAGGAACCCATATTAGCCTACCAATTGTATAACCCTTTTGCCCGGGTTTCCACTCTCTTCTTTCTTTTTATGTATACAAACTTCGAAACAAAATTTCTATACGTTAGCTGCCGTGCTTCTACGTATTTTTGATTTACTTTAAACCACAATGTAAACATTGAATCGATAACGCTCGGTTTAGCAAGAACTATGTTAATACTACTGATGTTTATGTAGTAGACTGAATTTTGACTCTCACAATGAAAGTGCAGTCTTTCTACCGCTGGTTTCCTTCCATGAATGGGGAAAGCATAAATTCTCCAAGATGCTTCACTTGGAGAAACGTACCTGCAGTCAATATATTGCTTGATCTCATCAATATTTTGATGTTGAACATCATTTCCATCTTGATTCATGACAATTGCATCAATGATCATATCATAACCTTTGTTGATGTACTTAAACAAATATTTAATGGATGTACTTTGATTGCACCATTCCATGTTAATAGGAGCTCTATACTTCAGTGACAACTTCGAATTGTATGGAACAAAAAATCTATTGTCAATCTCTATTCCATTCTTAACGACAGTGTGGCCGTTGTCTCTTCTTCTATAAACAGGATATCCATCTTGATCAAAAATCTTATCACGCTGGAATTCTTTAGGAAAGTATTTTGAACATCTACCTTCCTTCATGCACGGTGAAGACCGATTTGCATTCCAGCACGAGCCGTGAATCATGTGATTTTTGACCAGGTTGTATAACTCTTCGTCAGTGTCTTTGTTTGGTTTTTTCAGCCGATATGATACAATCTATGTCAGTGGGTATTGAATACTTATTGGTTGGATGTAGGGAAATTAAAATATGAGCATGTGGTAGGCCCCTTTTCTGAAACTCAACGACATACATATCTATAAAAAAATAAAAAATTATTCATAAGAATTCACTGAAAATACAATAATGTAATAAAATACAGCAAATGAACATTAACTTACATGAAAGAACCTTTCCCATCACACTCTTTTTGGTCAAATCTGACAGTAACTCATCAAATTTCAGTTTAAAAATTCTTGAAATGAGATCTGGACGATCTGCTGCTTTTAGATTATCAGAACCTAGTACACGTTGAAATTCCGGCCAGTTTGGATTACATGTGAACATAATAAACAAATCAAGAAATCCAACGTAACTGCAAATTCTCATACCATCAAAGTACAACTGAACCACGTATCTGCAATTGCCAGCATAAGACGAAGGTAGCACAACCCATTTCCTTGTATCCGCACCTTAAGTCTGTCCATTTGTTCTAGCATCTGTGAGATAGTGATACTTGCCTATTCGTAGCTTCGACTGGTTTTTTCTTAGCCATCGAAGTTTCTCAGATTCCATCATTGTAAAACCATCGACCAAAAACTCTTGGAATGGCCTTCTTGATCTGATAATTGTTTGTGGCTCATTTTTCCTCGCTTGGATCCTAAAGGAAAACCACTCCCTAATTGTTAGCCTATTTATTTTAGTTGCTTGCTCCCATGGAACATCCTTATTACACGCTATTAAAGGTGTTAATTCTGAAATACGAACATTATTCGATCCTTTATTGCAATGCTTAATGTTAGGCCTATAACCATCTTCACCATATGGAAACAATAATGGATATTTAAATCCCAAATATTAAGTATAATATTCATCTATTCTCTGAAGTTGACCATGTTGTTTCTTCATTATAATGTCTCTTTTTTTTGCGGTATCAACATCACCGACAGTTAGCCCAGCAACTTCAGAAACAATTGGTTGATTATATAGTCGTCCATCAGTACATCGCTCGGAAATGAGATGGAGTTTTAGGTCAGAAACATTGCCTTCAGCAAGTATATCCATCGCCATTTTGAAACTCTTAGCATGCACATTGTGTTCATATAACATTGAACATAATTTTTTCACGATATTAATATCAACTCCAGTTTTGGTTCTGAAATGCAACAAATTATAAGCCAAATGATATATGCTCTGAAATATATTGACAAACTATTAATAGATTTATAAAAATAAAGGAAAAAACCTGACTCCATCAACCTTATTTTGAATTTCATGTTCGGTATCAAATATATAGAGTTGAGCAAAATGTGGATTTTGACCTGGCAATGGTAACATGCTTCCTATGCAGTGACATGATTGACCGTGAATTCGATAATTAGGAGGACCTCTACCATTTTTGAATTTGTTGTCCATCTTAGCACCAGGAGAAGTAAATGCGAACATCATGTTGTATACACGAATTTGTTGTTGAAATAGTTTTGATTCAATATTGGTTTTGTCAAATAATAATTTCTGCAATTCTGGTGGTGGTTATCTCAACAAAGGAAGTTGAACCTTTCGTTCTCCATAGCACATTGATAACTTAAGATTAGATGCATGTCGACACTTGTTCTTCCTCTCTAAATACCACATATTAGAACCACATTATCGACACTTAAACACATGATCACCTATATCATAGTATTCTCCTAAATTATGACAAATAATTATTAGCAAAAATCTTTATTCAGTAATTAAAATTGAGTTAAAAAATTTAACTTCTGCATTAAAAATACCTGAAATCTGTAAATCTAATTGAAGAGTTTCGGTGACAAAACTTTCGTCGGCATCATCCATAAAAGAATTAGAATGTGAACTAAAATCTGTGATTATTCATACAAACATCATAGTTAGAAAAAACTGATGTGAATAAACATATTAGATATAAATATAACTGAAAAATATTAGCATACCTTCTGAATAATCTTCACTGCTTTTTTCGTCTCCACTGTCATGTAGAAAAAGTTCGTTGGTTTGCAAGCCTGGTTGTGTCGGCTTGTTTGAAGATGTAGAAGCATCTTGACTAAACACATTATCAAATCTCTTTGCCAAATTCACCCCAATATTGTTAATGCTTCTGCGAGGCATCACTTTTGGTCATCTCTTGGTTAAAGTACTTGGCAAAGTATTTAAAACAGAGGTTGGATGAGTTTTCTGCAATGTATTTCAAGCTGACATGCTGCATCTTGGGATGTTAGGAGAAATTGTAGACAGTGGTAATCTGATACGAGATGTTTCTTCATCAGTTTTTGGTTGAGGCTGTTGTGCATTTTCCTTATTCATTGACCTCAATCTTTTTGCTCTTTTGAATTGAAGTACAATTTTTCTTTGACGTCTGGCCTCTGCTGATCTTTTTCTGTTGATAATAGTATTGAAGTGTTCATCCTCAAGAGCTTTTTGTTTATCCATTACTATTGAGTATTAATATGAGAAGCTGTAATAAAATGGATGAACATGGAGACTGAATTTATAGAGTTATATAATGTTTCCTCCAATTTTTTTTGAGTAATTAAATGATGCATATTAAATGTGGTGAATAATACGATACAAATTGTAACATAGTATATTGGTAAGCTCAATGTTGCAGTAATCAAAGTGTTTATTAAAATTTAAGCATGCAATGCATTGTTTATGTAAAACGTGCATAATAACTAACATATATGATTTTGCATTGGTAAATGGCAACAATGCATAAATATAAAACTGTAATAATTATGGGCGAATTGGGTTTGGCATGTTTAATGATTGAAACCTTCATTTGACGTAGATACACACCAATGCATCTTTTGTTTATAAATACTATGTTGATATTAATAAAATGGAAAATTAGTCTATAAACTTGATATACATTTACAATACTGTATCTTTTATGCATATATACTAACAATTGGAAATGAAAACAGTTTTTAACTGTTGTTGAGATTGGCAACTAAATAATTTGTTGTTTTCATGAGGACTTAATAAAATGTTAGTTTATATGATTCACTTATTATAGGCGGATAATATTATTACCAAATTCGTTATGATTACAAATGATTTATTTAAGCCAATGTAACATGAATACATACTTTTGATATTGTAGTCTGAATCTATTTATGCAATACAAATCAGTGTTGAAAGATAAATAAGCAATTCATTAATAATAATGCAAACGAAAATCGCATAGAGAATGTTAAAGCTGACAGGAAATAAAGGAATGATGATAAAATTGTTGTTCAAAACATAACAATAGGCATAAAACATATTAACTACTGGAAATTCAAATTTTATCGGCATGTCAATCTCATGTGAATCCTCAATCTTTTGGTTCGACCTTCACTTTCTTTGATATCTTCGTTCTTGAAAACTGCGTAGCTCCGTAAACTTTACAGTCGAAATCTTCAAGATCGTTAGAAACTGAGCCATCCTTGGTCGGGGAATCGACCAATATTTTGAAAAGGATAGTAATGAAATATATTACGCAATGTCTTTCAAATTCAGTGAAATAAATGTCTTTTTTTTCGGGGTGTTATTCTGAAAATTGTTTATCTCCTATACAACTCCAATGTATCTGTACAAAATAATGAAAAAAATCAGTATAAATATGATACAAAAATAAACATTGTTAATACAATATACACATCAAAATTAAAACATATGCATATTATCATACCTTCAAGTCTATTAAGCTGACATTTTCCTTCAAGGATATCTGAAAAGTCTTTGAAATAATATCTTTTAGGAGGAAGGTTCAGAATATCAACATCTTTAAAAGTCGTACCACCAAGAAACACGAACTTCTTAGAATGATCACAAACTTCCACTGAAAATCATTATCAAACACAATGCCATTGTTGATTATGCAAGTTATATTTTCTTGAATTCATTCCTTCCATTTTGGTGTATGATCAGCACAAATCAATACTTGAATCCTATCACCCTGATGACATAAGAAACCTAATCAATAACAGGTTAAGGTTATTTTTCACAATACCATATATGATTTGAAAATTTTGCAAAATGTTATAGCTGCATCCATGATAATCATCTCCAAATGCTTGACGCATTTGCTATTAATAACGCTCCATGAATCAATAACTCGAATAGCCAATCTTCATGTTTTCTTTGTGTCGTTAATATCCTTTACACAGTCAAATCTCCTACTCATCTTCTGCTTATGCAAATAGCAACTATTCTTGTTATGATGGTTTAAGGTTTCTACAAAACAATATGAAAATCAAAACACGAAATCAAGATTGTTGAAAAATATTGTTTCAGGCGAAAATGGTTTAGGATTGTATGAATACTGTTGAAGAATATTGTCTCAAGAATGACAAAGAAGATGAAAGGATGGAAGAATTTGAGATGAAGGACCATCTCATACAAACAGGGAGGACAATGCAGGAGAAGTTCAACAGGAAAAAAAATACTTAGACAATGTACAGTTGATTCCCAATGTTGGAGATTGCAAAAAAATCATTGGAAACATCAATAATTAATGTGGAGTAGATAAAAAGAGTATAAAAATTAATTCAGTTGCAAGAAAGAAAAAAAGATAAATTAAAAAAAATAAAAACTAAAATGACAATTATATCCTTGAAATTAGTTGATAAAAATGATTTTAATTATATAATGATGTAATTATGGTGGTAATTAGTTTTTATATATTAAGAGTAGATTATCTATCATATTAATATTTACTTTTTCTTATTTAATATATTTATTATTAGTTATAGATTTTGGCAAAATAATTTAGTGGATGAAGTTGTAGGGTTATGTTTGATTTATTTATTAATTATAGAAGCAAAATTTAAATAAAGGATAAAGTTATAAAATTAAAATTTAGTATAATTTAATATGATACTACACACGCATTTCAATCAAGGATAAGGTTTAAGCTTCAAACACAAGTCCATTCCAGCAAGCATCTCCAGTGGTTGATAGCTCTACTTAGAAAGAGACCGGAGAATAAACATGGATATTTAAGGTTTAAGGTTCATTGTGGTTTAGGATCGAAAGAATTTAACAACAGTCATCTATATTTGTCACGCGCAACGCAAACGGTTGCCAAACAATTGGGAAGTTAAATAAATAGTAATACCAAATAATTTGGACTTTTAAGATTTGAAATGATAAATAATTGTGGAAACAACTTCTTTCTCTAAATAGAAAATATTTGATTGACTCTAAATAGATTAGAGATTGCGTGTCCGTAAAGCGTTGAATATTGTCTTCCACCTTTGATCAATACCGTAAAATAATACAGTTTAAAGGATATGTAAAATAAGCCGTTAAATATTTTTATAATGTCATCTAAGAAAAATATAAAAATATATTATTTTATTAATATCATATAATATTGGTTGATGACATAAACATCATCAACGTAATTCATAAGAAACCAGCTAATGATTGAACTAAGATTATTTCACCAAGCACGTCAAAGTGGGATTATTTAATTGAAGAAAGCACACGATGGTATATAGTTAAAAATGTAATTCATATACAATTTAATATACCACCTAATTCATTATGTCTAAATTATCTATATTCATCATGACTCTTAGCCTTCTGAATACTTCGACTTGCACTCCCTTCGTCGTGATGTTTACAATTTGATTCTCAGTTCTGCAGTGTTTCAAATTTATCTTTCCACCTGCTACCTACTCTCGAAGATAATGAAACCTCATTTCGATGTGCTTACTTCGATCATGTGCTATTGGGTTCTTCGTCAGATTGATAGCTGACATCTTGAATCAGTGTATCCCACTAAGCATTTTTTTCTTTTATCAGCTGCAGGAAACAAAATACCATAATTGAAAGTTCCTTTGAGATACCTTAGTATCCTCTTCACTGCTGCTAGATGTGATACCTTTGGCTTCTGCATGAATCTACTTACCATGCCTGCACTATATGCTAAGTCAGGCCTTGTATGACAAAGGTATCTCAATTATTCAATAAGTCTTATGTATTGGGTTGGATCAACATCATCTTCATCTACATCTTTCGACAGTTGCAGTCTTGGTTCTGCAGGTGTCGAAGTTGAGTTGCATTCTTCCATCTAAAACCTCTTGAGAATTTCTCATGCATATCTTCTTTGATGCATCATCAAACCTCTACTACTCTTGTAGAATTCGATACCAAGGAAATATGAAATCTCACCCAAATCAAACATTTCTAATTCCTTGCTGAGATCACCTTTGAAGTCTTCGATCTCACTTTTACAGCTACCTGTTATCAACAAATCATCTACATATAGATATAGTATAAGCAATTTACTCTTGCTTCTTCTTATATATACTCCATGTGCAGTTGTGCACTTCACAAATTCCTTCTCCCTTAGGAAACTATCAATTTTCTTATTCCAAGCCCTTGGAGCTTGTTTGAATCCATACAGGACTTTATGCAGCCTGTACACCTTTCTTTCT